AAAAAAATCTTAAAAAAAAAAAAAAAAAAAAAAAAAAAAAAAAAGAATAAAAAACATTTTAAAAAATAATAAAAATAAAATAAAAAATAAATGTTCATTCTGAGATTTGTGTGTGAAGGAGGCAGAAGGGAGGAGAACACATGTTATCTTCTGGTCCATGAGAATAAGATTCCGTCTGATTTACCCACCATTGTTACAGCATAGAGAAATGATACAAGTTACATTATAGTTAGAAGAGTTAGTGGTCAGGAGTTAGAGGTAGTGGGTCTAGAGGAATCTGGGAAGTCTGTGTATAAATATAAACGGGGGGTGATAATGGTTGATTAAAGTGGAAGAAGTTACTCTACAATAGTACCATTGTAAAATAATGGTCCAAAATGTGGCTTGTAATGATCACTATAGTAATTTGTTCAAACTTTTATGAATTGCCTGTAATGACACATAGAGAACTCTTTGAGGAGGAAATACCTAAAGTGTAGTCCTGCTGAGGACCTATATAACTCATCTTGACTTGCGTCTTGTAATCAAGGAGTCCCACCAAAAGAAGATCCATTTGCTGTGAGACCATCCATCAGCAAGGCCTCCCTTCCCTCTCTGCCTGTGCACTCATTCTTCTGTATCAGTTACAGTTAGGTCAGGTGTGTGTAATAGAAAATTCAAAATAATAATGGTTGAAACAGGATATGGGTTTATTTCTTGCTTTTTTAAAAAAAAAATCTTTTAAGTATATGTATTTTGAGGGGAGGGGTGCAGAAACAGAAAAGAGAGAATCCCAAGTAGGCTCTGCACTGCCAGCACGGAGTCTGATGCAAACTCACGTACTGTGAGATCATGACCTAAGCTGAAGTCAAGAGCTCGATTCTTAACCAACTGACCCACCCAGGTGCCCCTAAAGATTTTTATTTTTAAGTAATCTCTAAATCCAACGTGGGGCTCAAACTTAGAACCCCGAGGTCAAGAGTCACATGTTCTACCAACTGAACCAGCCAGGCACCTCTCTCTCTCTTTCTTTTGAAAAGAACCTCAGGTTCTCTAAGAAGGGAGACAGTCCAGGGCTTTCAGAATGGCTCTGTGAAAACATTAGGCATCCACACTCCTTTCTTGTTACTCCAGAGTTCTTGATGTTTTTCTTATAGTCTAAAATTATGTTGAAGCTCCAGCCTCATACCCGTGTTCTAAGTGGCTGGATGGAGGAAGGGAAGAAGGAAGCACTTCTCTTTTGAAGGAAATTTCTAGACGTCCCCCATAACATTTTCACATGTATTTCATTAAGCAGAACTTAGTCACATGGCCATATCTAGCTGCACAAGAAAGTCTGGGAAATGTAGTCTTGACTGGTGGTGGTGTGCCCTGCTCAAAATAGAGAAGTCTCTTAATTTGTGAGAGAAGGGGCTAATGGGTAATTATTAAGCAGCCAGGAGGAGGAGTTACACCTATGAGAACTAGGGAAGGGATTCAGTGCCTGCCATACTGCTTTACTTTTGGCTTTATGCGATATATTTGAGCATGTGTGTGTGTAATATTTGCTTCCTTAGAAATCCTTTGTAGCCTTGCAAGAAGAAAGAAATGGAAAGGATTGCTTAGAGGCAGATACCCAAAGGAATTGAAAGTATCTGACTCCAGCATTCCTTGTCCTTCAGAAAGCTGTCAGGTTTTTAGTCATTGTTACAGACATCTGGAATCAGGCTACCATGTCAGAGAGAAAATTTGTAGGTGGATTGGTTATGATTTTTTTACCACTCACACCAATTACCTTGTTCTTTAATGTCTTTGCTAGTCAGGCTCACTCTCTTTTTTTCATAATGATATGATTTCTTTAAAAGCACACTTTTTTTTCTTTTATGGTGAAAGCACTGTGTTTTTGTTGCTTAAATTTGGAAGACAGACAAGAATTAGAAAATTTAAATAATCTGTAATTCAATCAAAAATAAAGACATTAACATTTTGATTTATTTTCATCTTTTTTCCATGCATTTAGACACATAGGGGAAACTAAAATATCATGAGCATTTTCTTATGTTATTAAAAATTCTTTAAAAAGTTCATTAATCCTTCTGCCTTTTTTTGATGTTTACTCTACTTGTGATTTTTTTCTATTATCTATAACACTGATGAACAGCCTTGTGATAAATCTTTGTTTCCATCTTCAATTGGTCTCTTAGAATAAATTTTTGAACATAGAATTACTGCGTCACGAGATGTGAACATTTTTAAGACTTTTGATATATTTTGCCAGCATGTCTTCAGGAAAGATTGTTTTGTTTAAACTCTTCACGGTGTTTGAGTGTATCTGGGACCTGTGTACTGGATGTGAACTCCACACAATACTGGAATAAGAACATGCTGGATATACTGCTTTTTGATGTACTGATTTTACTCCGTCAAGAATGACAAAGCTATTTTTTGGCTAAACTGATTAATGTTGTGTATTTATCTTTTTAATGAGAAATTATATATTTCTCTTTTTTCTTGCATTTGACTTTGGGAGCTACAGATCGTGTCCAGCCTTCAGCCATCAGACATGTTCGTTCTTGGAGCAACATCCCCTTTATCACTGTGCCCCTCAGTCGTACACATGGCAAGTCTTTTGCCCACCGCAGTGAGCTGAAGCATGCCAAGAGAATCGTGGTGAAACTCGGAAGTGCTGTAGTAACCCGGGGGGATGAGTGTGGTCTTGCACTGGGGCGCCTGGCATCTATTGTTGAGCAGGTAATTGTCAAGATGGAAAATTCTGGTAAACAGAAATAATACGGAATTCTAAAGCTGTCAGTTCAGGTTTGTTTGTTTATCTTTTTCAACCCTGACTTTATCCCTAACCCACCATAACCATCAGTTCAGGTTTATCAGCTTATAAAAGTAATTTGAGTGCAATAGATTTAACCCGATCTGTCAACTCCCTTTGCCAGTGAAAGTACCAGCAGTCTCCACATCCCAGGGCAAGCAAAGGGGATGTCAAGGAGTAAAGTTGATTTCATGCAGTTCATCCTTTGGGCTTCTTAGTGATAAGGAGCCATATATGTCAGTAATTCTTAATCCTGCCTGCACATTAAAATGGTCTAAGAGGCCTGGCTTCACACTGAGTCTCTGGGGTGGGGCTCAAGCGCCTGGATTTTTAAAGTTCCTTGGGTGACTAACATGTAGTCAGGGTTGATGTCTGTGAATATTGAGCCTTTTTTTTGGTTCCTGTTTTGCTAGGCATTTTCTTTTTTAATTAGGCCAATAATATTGAAATAAATATGAGTTATCGTTGCAAAGATTTTCCAAGTTCAGATATTTGAAAGGAGATATTTGAAAGAGAATTCCCATGTAAGACTTTCATTTAAAGACAAAAGATACAAGGTAGCAAGAGACAGAGTGGAAGCAGGCATCAGGGTGTCTGAGAGACATCTGTGCACAAGGCCCCCAAGGTCTTTATTTGCACAGGGACCACAGTCTGTCTCCAGATCAAACCACAAAGAGATCTTTGTGCAGGGTATCTTACTAAACCTTTGGAAGGGCTCCAAGCAGAAGTTTCCATTGGGGATTTTATGCCCCACTGGTTATGCAAACAAGCCAGGCTGACTGTGGGCTGTCTGTAAAGAAACTGACTTTAGGGATCAACATGGGAGTTTTAGACTTTAAACATCACATTACAGATCCCACTACCTCTATTTGCCAAGAGCAGATATCAGTAAGTTTTGCTACAGAAGGCCAGATAGTACATATTTAGGCTTTATAGGCCAAATGGTCTCTGTCTCAGATACTTGTCTCTACTATTGAAGCACAAAAGCAACCATAAATCATATGTAAATGAATGGACACAGCTGTGATCTAGTAAAAAGTTTACTTACAAAACCAGGTACAGGTGAGATTTGACCTGCTGCGTATAGTTTGCCATTTCCTGACTAAGAATCAAAAAACTAGACATCCAGACATAATGGAGATAAAACTAGAACTTTTTCATTCTAGCTGTAACTCAACTCTGTCCTCCATGACCATATTTTTAGTTTTTAAAAAACAACTGTACTGATGAGTTGTTGTTAAGAAACTGCTAACTGAAACTTGATGAAATTTTCTTTTTAATATTTTTTGTATTAAGCAGTTTTATCAAATCTCCCTCCCAGACTGAGTCCATCAGATCAATTCAGTTTAACAGATATGTATAAAAAGGCTACATTGTGAGAGACTTCACAGACGTGTAAGTGTTATCTCTGCCCTTGGGGAGCCCAGAATCAGGACTCCCAAAGCACTTAGGTGATTGTTCAAGGCAGTAACTAATCAAGCAAGTGGGTCCAAATCTGTACTCATGGTCAGAGCTCGCAGTCTTTGGCCAGTGGAAGCCACTTTAAGTTGACTCCTGAGTCTATCTGTCATGGTCAGATGCCCTAGATAAGACAGTTGACTCTACATATTAGTAGTACCCTGATCTAGAAAGCACTTCTATGAGATCCGTGGGTATCTGGCAACCTAAGCAAACCATTACTGGGGTCTTCCCACTGTTTTCATCAAGTTTCTCCTCTGTGCAACATCTTCAGTCTGCTTTGGGGACCACAATTCCCCTACATGGCCTCCTGCCTGATGGAATGATCCACTTTATTTCCCATTCCCCCTTGTGAGACCACTACCACTGCTTTCAGGCTTACTTCCTCCCTGGCCCACCAACATGACATACTCATTCCTGTCCTTGTCCCCCACCTGGAATCTACTTGTAGAGCCTCCCCTTCCTCAGAATCACACGACTCCATGGGCACCATTCACACTGTGCACTTAGCAGCAGGGAATATTTCCCCTCTGGTGGTGCAAATCCTACCAGTCATAAAAGCTCAGGCTTAAGTACCAGTTCTCCTAGGAGGCCTCAAGAATACACTCTCATTTGACCTTCCCATTTCTGGACCCCTCAATCACTATCATTTGACAAGCTAAAAAAATTGGGACAATGTGAACAGTGATCGGATCTTTTATATATATATATATATATATGTATGTATGTATGTGTATTTATGTATTTATTTATTTTAATGTTTGTTTATTTTTGAGAGACAGAGAGGGAGCAAGGGAGGGGCAGAGAGAGAGGGAGACAGAATCCCAAGCAGGCTCCATGCTGTCAGCACAGAGCCTGATGCGGGGCTTGAACTCACAAACTGAGATCGTGACCTGTGCCAAAACCAAGAGTTAAACACTTAACCAACTAAGCCACCCAGGCACCCCTTGATCTTTTATATTAAAGAATTAATTAAAATGGTTTAGGTGACAGTGGGTTTTTTTGGGTGTGCGCATATATATTCCTTGTTTTTTTTTTTTAGCAGTTATAGTACTGCTGAAATATTTATAGGTGAAATAATATATCTGGGGCCTGGGATTTGTTTGCATTAAAACAATGATGGGGCTAGCTGTAAAGGCAGTGCTAGAGAGTGGGAAATTGGCATGAGAGATAGTTGTTGAAGCTGGGTGATGGGTACATGAGGATTTATAAAACTATTCTTACCACTATGGTTAAGTATGAAATTTTCTATTATAAAAAGTTACTTTTCAAAATCATGATTTATCACAGGTGTTTATGAGTTCCTGAGCCAGCGTGCAGGGCTCAAACCTCAGGAGGAATGGACATGTTAGGAATATGGACTCTATTGAAGCTTGAATCTTTGATTCTTTCAGTGTAGATCTATCCAAAGTAGGGAACAAACTGACCAGAGCTGATTATGGGTAGACAGAGCAGAACGGGGTTAGCATCTGTCCCTGCTTTAGCCTAAGGTGACCCATAGGGATCCACATAACACAGAAAGAGCCTCAATGTCCCAGGTCGTGCCTTAGAACCTAAGAAGCCATCTGCTCAGTTTACATTGTAATTCTTAGACTTCTTTTCTGGAACAACTAGGCCTTCTGCATTATAGACTCCCAACAGATACCATCAGTGTTGTGGATGTCAAACCTGCCTGCACACCAGAATCTCCTTATTAAAAATTTCTGATTTCATGGGCATGGAGGAGGGCACTTGTGGGGATGAGCACTGGGTGTTGTTGGAAACCAACTTGACAATAAACTATTTATTAAAAAAAAAAATAAAATTACAAAAAAAAAATTTCTGACCTCTGTCTGCTACGTACTTACCAGATTTGAGGCAGCATGTAGGAATCCGTATTTTTACCAAACAACCTGGGTGATTCTTCCAGAGCCAGCCCAGTGGTGGTTCATAAGCCTGCATTTGAGATCCACTAAGTTGTCTACTATCCTACTTGAGTCTCTTGTGCAGGTAAGGCAGACTCTACCTCTCTGAAGAGAGGAAAGAGATGATAACAGTGACTTGTGGTGCCTTTTCCTTCATCAATGTCAGGTTTCAGTGCTACAGAATCAAGGCCGAGAGATGATGCTGGTGACCAGTGGAGCCGTAGCCTTTGGCAAGCAACGCTTGCGCCATGAGATCCTTTTGTCTCAGAGCGTGCGGCAGGCCCTGCACTCTGGGCAGAACCAGTTGAAAGAGATGGTGAGTGATGCTTCCCCACCCCCTGTAACAGGGGTCCACAGGCCTTCTTCCCTCACTCCCAATCACACCGTATCTATTTGTGTGTTGTAGGCAATTCCAGTCTTAGAAGCACGAGCCTGTGCAGCCGCTGGACAGAGTGGGCTGATGGCCTTGTATGAGGCCATGTTTACCCAGTACAGCATCTGTGCTGCCCAGGTGAGAGACTCGCCTTTGCAGAGAGGTGTGGGACCTGTGAGGGTGATTCCCATGGAGCCAAGGGGTGATGAGCAGAGCTCGAGAGCCAGACCACCAGGATACAGTCTTAACGCCATCATTTGTTATTTGGGAAATCTGGAGAAAGTCTTTAGGTTTGACTTTTTTGTGCTTCAGTCTCCTCATATGAAAAAAGAAAACAGTATCAGTGTCTATTTGAGACGATTTTTGGAAAAAGTCTATGAGAAAATAATACGAAAAGCATTTAATGTAGTGTCATTCTCGGTAATTATTAGTATCATTATTGTATTAATAATTCTTTTTTTTAATGTTTTTTATTTATGTTTGAGAGAGAGAGTGAACGGGAGAAGGGCAGAGAGAGAGGGAGACAGAATCAATCTCAAGTAGACTCCAGGCTCCGAGCTGTCAGCATCTGTGCCAGCCCCAACACAGGGCTCAAACTCACTAACCACAAGATTATGACCTGAACTTCGGTTGGATGCCTAATTGACTGAGCTATCCAGGTGCCCCTATACTAATAATTCTTATGGCTACTACTATAAGTGATTATACTTTTCCTGAAGACAGAAAAGTTAGATGTCTTTATTTCATTGGCTTTTTTGACTTCAGGTGGCTTGCTTCTCTTTGCACCTGGTTGACTTACACAATAAATTTCTATTAAGCACTGAAGGAAAGAAGGATGCTTGTGGTAGGTTTTCAGTCATTCAGCAAATATTTATTGAGCACTTACAGTGTACCAAGAAGTATGCTAGGCACTGGGGATACTGTGGTGAACAAATCAACCATGGTTCTAGTCCTTATGGAACTTCAACATTTTTAGTGGTTGCTGTGAATGTTCTAGAGCCTTCTTTCCACATTGAACTTTTTCAATTGTATTTTTAATCATCGATACAACTACACCCTAGAAACATGTAAATGTCACAGAGCAAGTAATAGTCACTTCACAAAGCAATTGAAACAATTGAACTCCCCCGGGTGCCTGGGTGGCTTAGTTGGTTAAGCGTCCGACTTTCGCTTAGGTCATGATCTCGCGGTTCGTGGGTTCGAGCCCCGCGTCGGGCGTCGGGCTCTGTGCTGACTGCCAGCTCAGAGCCTGGAGCCTGTTTCAGTCTGTGACTCCCTCTCTCTCTGACCCTCCCCTGCTCACACTGTCTCTCTCTCTCTCTCTCCTAGAAAAAAATTTAAAAAAAAAGAAAAAATTGAACTCCCCAAGTTATTATCTTTAGACTCCTTTGTTGCCTCTGATCCTACCATTTACACAGATGTTATTTTACATAGATGATGTTGTTATTTATACATCCTTTCAGGTTTTCTTCTTTCATTTCCTACTGCTTTTTGTTTTCCATGATCCTCACAATGTTATCCACAGTGGTGGTGTGGTATTGTGCCAGAACGTGCTTGAGTAAGTGAGCTGAAACAGAAAGTCACGGGTTTGTCCACCTATTGCCTATAGGGAGCGACCCCACTGTCTTAGATTTTTTTTTTCCTGTTAGTATGAATACAATAGAAATCTTAATTTCTGTCACCCATTATTATCAGCTCTCTTCTCCTCCTCAATCTAAAGACAGTTTCAGTCTTTAATGTTTTTTATAAGTGCCTGGAGCCAGGTGAGGAAACTTATATCCAGGATCTTTGCTTTTGTTTTGTTTTGTTTTCCCATGTATGATGGTTTTGAGGGTTTTTAGGTATGTTTTAATGAAAGTAGCTTTAAAAGTCACTGCACATCAGCCATGACTTACATTAATATTGATGTGAAAAAGTTCTGTCCCCTCCAGTTTCCAGCAGACATCCACCTGTGGGTCTTTCCCTCTCTTATATGTTTGCCTTCCTTGGGGACCTTACAGCAATAAATCTTTGTCCTTTGTACCTTCCCCTTTGGTTTCTTGTTGTCTTTAGTAATCCTGTTGTGAAGACCATTATCAGTGGGTTTTGGAAATTGTTTGTCAGGTTAAAGACTTAAACAAATACAGCAGCTTTTTTTTTTTTCATAGAAATGAAATGAATGTGCATCTTAACAGACTACCCTTCTCCACACACATATTTTTCTCTCTTTAGGGCTCTTGTCTTCTATTCCTTCTTTGTTAAACTGTTTGAGCAACAGGTATTTTCACTGGACTTTTATACCTCCTGTTTGCTTCTCCTACACACATTTACTTTATCATTTGACCTTTCACCTGCATGGCTAGTGTCTACATGTACTATTTGACCTGGTCCTGTTTTTCCTATAGGACTCAACTTTCCTGAAAAAGAGTTTGTGATCTATCCTTACAAAAGATGTGCCCCATTCCACTTTCCCCAAACCATCAACAGTTTTATTCTCTCTCTCAGGAGCTCACTAAGGGCCTGACATTTCCAAAGTACTGAACAAATTTTGAGTGAGTGAATTATTTCCTTTAGTCATGTTACCATTTTTCTTCCTCACTTACATTTTATATATTGTTAAGGCTGCCGTTACCTTCTCAGTTACCACAGCCAGACCCTAGCTTAGAGCTTAACCATTCCCAGTGTTAATGTTTGGGTACCTTCCTTCTTGACAGTCTGCCTGCAGCCTTTTCTACTTCAACCTGCCCTACACTGCAAGAACCCTTCTTCCTTAAACATTTGGGGGATTTCATTGAAACATTTATTTATGAGTTTCAGGGCTTATTTCCATTAGTTTCTTGCTGTTCTCAATTACCTACTCTCCTGCTAACTATTGTCTAATACCCTGAGCTAAGCAAGAAAGCAGAGCTGTCTGCCCTCCCCCACATCCAGCTCTGTACCTTTGAGCACTTATGCTCATTCCCTCCCCTGAACTAAGTTACGTCCAGCCCTTCTTTCAGTTTGTGACTAAAGACTCACCTCTATAAACCTCTCTGACCAGTCCCACATGCTCAGACACACTGTGTTAACTGCAGTGGTCAGCTGCAGAGCAACAGTGGCAACACAGCCCTATTGCATTTTATTCCATACACATTCTTTCACTCACTCACCAAATGTTTTAGTGCCTTCTATGGCCAGCCCCTGAATCAGATGCTAGGATACAGAGATATTTTAGAAATTAATGCATGGCCATTACTTCCCCCAAAGTGTACCTCTCTAGAATTCAAACATTAGTTCTAATGTTTGTTTCTTTATTTTGAGAGAGTGTGCCCATGTATGTGCGCAGGTGGGGGAGAGGCAGAGAGAGAGGGATAGCAAGAGAACCCCAGGCAGGCTTGCACTGTCAGCACGAAGCCCGATGTGGGGCTCTAACTCACAGACCATGAAATTGTGACCTGAGTGAAATCAAGAGTCAGACTGAGCCCTCCCAGGTGCCCCATAAAGTTCATAGTTTAATTTTTTTAATATTTATTCATTTTTGAGAGACAGAGACAGCGCAAGGTGGAGGTGGGACAGAGAGAGGTGGGGAGACATAGAATCCAAAGCAGGCTCCAGGGTGTGAGCTGTCCACACGGAGCCCCATGTGGGGATCAAACTCACAGACCATGAGATCCTAACCCTGAGCTGAAGTCAGACACTTAACTGACTGAGCCAGGCACCCCTCATAGGTTAATTTTCTCAATTCTGTAAATGGAAGAGATTTAGTAGCTCTCTGAAAATTGAAGTACTTTTACAAGAAGTCTTAAGCATCCTTAAATAAGTATTCCAAGTGATTAATTTTTCCCATCTCTAAAAGAATTGGATGAGCATCCAAAGATAATGTGTTCCATTCCGATATGTATGGGATCCAGAAATCTAGAGTTTAACTCCTCTCCCCTTAGCATCTTTTGAATGTTATTGCTGGGAAGTTCGTCATTTTCCTCCTTCCTGCATTTTTGATCCATTTAATTACTTTCAGATTTTGGTGACCAACTTGGATTTCCACGATGAACAGAAGCGCCGGAACCTTAATGGGACACTTCATGAACTCCTCCGAATGAACATCGTTCCCATTGTCAACACAAATGATGCTGTCGTGCCCCCAGCTGAGCCCAATAGTGATCTCCAGGGGGTAAATGTGGGTAAAGTATTCCTAAGGGTTGAGCATGCTGGAGACTAATGCCACGCTATGCTGCATGTACTAACACTGGAAGTTTGGCATAAACAAGAGGGAGAGATTGAGAAACTGGCCTCATGGAGCAGGGGCTGCATAAGCTCTTCTGAAGTCAGACAGTCTCATTCAACAGGGTGAGGCACAGTACTGATTTCTGATGGTGCTATGCGCATGGCTTGTGTGTGTCAGTAGAGAGAAGGGTGCATGTTTGGAAATGGGGTGTCCAGGAGGCATGGTGTTTTGCAGACAGAAGGGGCCTACGAGAGCTGTCATCTATGTACTCCATCATTAACTTTGCCTGCCAGAACCTAGCAGAGTGCTTCTGTGAATGTCTTTTTGAACTGCATAGTTCACTCACATCATTAATGACTTTTTGCCTGCATTCCAGGTTATTAGCGTTAAAGATAATGATAGCCTGGCTGCCCGTCTGGCTGTGGAAATGAAAACTGACCTCTTGATTGTTCTTTCAGATGTAGAAGGTACAAAATAATGCCTTTTCCTTTTATCCAGCCTTTGTTTTAAATACTAAATGCGTGAGCACATGAATTTCCATCTTTGTGTGAGTCCTTCTGATTTTTTTTTTAATATAGACCATTATTTTCTGAGCCATATGGTCTGATAGACAGTTTTTATGGCTCAAAAGAAGGTGGAAGAGTCTGGGAGATGCAGTTTGCTGAAATGTGGTCATTTCCAGGCACTTATGTTTTCTTAGAACAGCTTTACAGGTGTAATTCACATACCATACAGTTCACCTGTTTAAGACTTACTCCATTCACTGATTTTTAGTATATTCATACAGTTGCTCAACTCTGACAATAGTTTTAGAACATTTTTATCATCACATTTTATCACCCTATACCCATTAGTGATCACTCCTCACTTCCCTCCCCAGATTCTCCAGCCATATGCAGCTTCTCCTCTACTTGCTCTCTCTATGGATTTGCCTATTCTGGACATTTTTCATAAGTGGAATCATACAGTATGTGATCCTTTGTGACTGGTTTCCTTTATTTACCATGTTTTGGAGGTTCATCGATGTTACAGCATCTATCAGTATTCTTTTTTTATTGCCAAAGAATACTCCATTGTGTATATGCATCACATGGTATTTACCCATTCATCAGTTGATAGACATGCTGCTGTGAACATTCATCTACAAGTTTTTGTGTGAACATGTTTTTTGTTTTACCTAGGAGCAGAATTGGTCATGTGGTAATTCTCTATGTGTTTAGCCTTTTGAAGAAGTGCCACACTGGTTTCCAAAGCAGCTGCATCATTTTACATTCCTGCCAGCTCTGTATGAGGGTTCTAGTTTCTCCACATCTTTGCCAACACTTACCTCTTGTAATCTGCTTTTTGACTTTAGCCATCCTAGTGGATGTGAAAAGCTTTTTCATTGTGGTTTTAATCACTTTCAGTTTTTAACATAAATCACAAGACACATTATATTAAATGGGAGCCCCTGCAGAAATCCAGGCTATATGGCCACCATGGTGTCATATGTTAATCTATTTTTCTCTGCTTTCCCCTTCCTTATAGGAGGGTCCCTCTTGGCTCCAATTTGACTCTTCATTCGCTGTTCTCACTTTCTTAAGCTGTGTCCATTTTATATTTTGAATATGGCAGCTGTGTCAAAAATAGGCCACACCTACAGGATCCCAAAAGTTCCCCATTATATATTCCCAGGAGATCAGGAAAACCTATTTAATTCCCATCCCATACCCAAGGCAGGTTTCTTTGGCAGGACTTGTTTTCCAGTTTACACTCTATAAAGTGGTACAAGAGTTAAGGGCAGGGGGCTGCCTGGTGGAAGCAGAGGCAGATATAGATGGGTTGATCTGTCTTCCACCCATGTGGGAAGTTCGATATATACTTACATGTCAGTATTTTTACCTGTAAGAAATCTTGGTACCATGTTTGTCCACTGTAAATGTGAAATCTCAGGACAGGAACAGCTAGGTTGGGGTAAGAGTGAGCCACTCTGCAGATGAAGGCTTTTTGGTTAATCAACAAATTTTTATTGAATTTCTACTATGCACAAATACTGTGCTAGGTGCTTTATAAATGTCAACTTATTGAATTCTTATAGCAGTCCTGCAAAGCAGGTAGGTTAGCTCAGTTATTCAGATGAAGAAATTAAAAATTATATTCACACCAGTTAAGTGGTATATCCAGATTCACATAGTACTTAGCAGAGGCTGGTTTCACAACTAAATCTGTTCTGTTTAAAAATCTACACTCTTTTCTCTCTTCTATACTTCCTTGTAAGGTAAAGGACATGAGTTTGAGAGATCAATATATAAAGTCCAATCTCAACTAAACTCTAGTAAACTTTTTTTTTTTAAAGTAATCTCTTCACTCAACATGGGGCTCGAACTCACGACCCTGAGATAAAGAGTCACATGATTGTCCAGCTGAGCCAGCCAGGTGCCCCTCTACTAAATACTTTTAATGCAGCCTTGAACAACAGAATTGGGTTATCAATATGATAGCATATATCAGTACTTTTCTTGTTACTGCCAAATAATATTCTACTTTGTAGCTACACTATATTTTATTTACCCATTCATCAGTTGATAGACATTTGAGCATTTATAACTAATGCTGCTGTCAACATTTGTGTACAGATATACATGAATGTACAAAAAACAGGCTTGTGTTATTAACTTTTAATTAGTTATCCATTGAATGTTGATTTTTAGAACAGTATTAGAATTTTGAATATGCTCTTGGTGGCTTTGAGAAGCTCTATAGGGGAAAAAGAGGAGTAGGCAGAGTATTAGAACGCTAGGCACTCCTCAGCATCTCTGGGGAAAGTTTGGCTTAGAATTGTATAACCTTGCCCATGTTACTTTTGTATGAAACCAAAACAGCGTCAGAATCCAAGCCTGTGTGATCTCATAGCATGATACCTTCTGAGAAAACTCCATCCCGGAGTCCAGGAGCGTGGAGTGCTGGGTCGTGGTGGACAGAGGTTGGGGAGGTGGTTTTTCTCTCCCTGTATTTGCTGCCCATGGTTAGCACTGCTGCATTCTATCCCAGACGCTGATTCCTTCACTCCTCTGACTCTCTTGCTCCTGGAGGGGATGTGTATAGCAGAGATTTGGAATAATGGAGCAGAGAGGGCTGTATTTTTAAATGGGAAAAACAGTAACTTAAACCAAAAACATCACTGCCCACATGTCCTTGAGCCAGTCCCCAGCCCTGGGCAGTTCCTCCCTGTACTTAGGTCTTGATGTGACTCCATTTTCACATTTTCACTTCATTTTTCTTTACAAGGCTCCAACTGGCTATTTTTATAACTGAAATAGTGAAGATCTTTAATCTTGGATTGTGTGCATATAACATTTCATGTAACTATATTTTATGTTATGCTATTCAGCTATTAAAGGGACATAGACTTTGTGGTGATAAATCCAGACTAAAGGCCAAGAGTTGTATTCTCTTCTGCTGACTCAGCCTAACCTTCACAATGCCTTACCCATAACATGGGGAGTATAATTAGTGACTGTTTTGAAGGATGCTGTGAGAGTTCATGAAAACCTATCTCCCATTTCATCCCACTTGGAAATAGTCACTTTATAGTATATGGCTGCTGCACTGTTTCTAGTAGCCACTTATCTTTTTCAGTTACTTTCTTAATTCAGCATCTTAAGTAGCAGTGGCAGAAGTGAGGATGGCTTCCCAGTAGACAGTGGGCAGGGCTGATAAGTGTTGTGCCAAGGATATGGTCATGCTGTGATGCAGGCAAACATTCAGTCATTAAGCCAGGTTATAAAAGTATGTATGGAAAGTCCTCCTGTTGCTGCTTTTCACCATGGGTAGACCATATAGGTTACTTATTCTCTTTTCTGGTTAGAGCTGGTAGAACAAAGACTTCATCAGTCATGTACAGAGTGGTTGGCAAGTGCCCAGGGGGGTGTCTGTCTTGGGGGACATCCCTTCCATTAAAGCAATACTACCGACTCTTGTTTACTTTTTAGGTCTCTTTGACAGTCCTCCAGGGTCAGATGATGCAAAGCTCATTGATATATTTTATCCTGGAGATCAGCAGTCTGTGACCTTTGGAACCAAGTCAAGAGTAGGAATGGGTGGCATGGAAGCCAAGGTAAGGGTCTGATGCTCTTACTGCCTGTAACATATAAAATCAAACAATATTTTATTCTTTTTACTTTTTTTTAAAGTTTATTTATTTAAGTAATCTCTACACCAAACATGGGGCTCTAACCCATGACCCCAAGATCAAATGCTGCACACTTTTCCAACTGAGCCAGCCAGGTGCCCCTACCCTTTTGACTTTTGTGATTATTTGGGGACTAATGGCTAAAATACTGGGCACATACACACTTAAATGTGCACATGTCTAAATACAGGTACAGTGTATATCATGTGCTTATATTTAGTCATGTCTGTATACGTATTCTTTTCATTAATATTATATATATAGTGTGTTCATGTTATAAACTCCTCAAGGGCAGGGTGTATATATATATATAATTTTTTAAGTGTATTTATTTTGAGAGAGTGACAGCGTGAATGGGAGAGGGGCAGAGAGAGAAGGAGACACAGAATCCAAAGCAGGCTCCAGGCTCTGAGATGTCAGCACAGAGCCCAAGGTGAGGCTTGAATCCACAAACTGTGGGATCATGACCCGAGCCAAAGTTGGATGCTTAGCTGACTGAGCCACCCAGGTGCCCCATACTTTAAAGATTTAAAAAAAAAAAACTTTTTTAAGTTTATTTATTTATTTTGAGACTCAGAGTGTGAGTGGGGTAGTGGCAGAGAGGGAAGAGAGAGCACCCCAAGCAGGCTCCACACTGTTAGTACAGAATGCCTGATGCAAGGCTCGAACTCCCAAACTGTGAGATCATGACCTGTGCTGAAATCGAAAGTCATATGTTTAATGGACTGAGCCACCCAGGTACCCCAAGATTTTTTATTTTTTTAAGTAATCTCTGTACCCAACATGGGGCTCGAACTCACAACCCTGAGATCAAGAGTCACATGGTCTACTGAGTAAGCCAGCCAGGTGCCCCAGCTCAAATATTTCTTATGAGATCTTTCAGAAATAGTAATAATACTCTTAAGATACAGCATCAATTGGTAGGAATGGCAGAGACATGCAAAAGAGATCTACAAAAGCTATAAGAACTCTGGATCAGATTCTGGTCAAACACCAGGCTGGACACTACATTGAGGCGTAGTAGGTCAAATGTACAAGTTATGAGTCCCAGTACTAGAGAGTCTTCGAACACTGAGCACAAAGGGCAGACTGGCTCATCTTTAGGTAATACCGGAGTTGGACTGGAAAGAGCATGGGCTGAGCATGTTTTCAGAGCTTTGTAGTTGTTCAAAACATTCCTGCATCTACTTCCATTGCTCACTATCACATTGTATTCTTTTTTTTTATTTTTTATTTTTTTTTATTTATGTCTAGGAGAGAGAGAGAGAGACAGCGTGAGCAGGGGAGGGTCAGAGAGAGAGGGAGTCACAGACTCTGAAACAGGCTCCAGGCTCTGAGCTGGCAGTCAGCACTGAGCCCGATGCGGGGCTTGAACCCACAAACCGCGAGATCATGACCTAAGCGAAAGTCGGACGCTTAACCGACTAAGCCACCCAGGCGCCCCATATCACATTGTATTCTTTTTGCAAGTTGAAAGTATGGATGACTAGACCCTGCAAAAAGTCTGAATCTTACGTTGGGCTCTAACCTCTAATATTAGGTGAAAGCAGCCCTGTGGGCTTTGCAAGGTGGCACTTCTGTTGTTATTGCCAATGGAACCCACCCAAAGGTGTCTGGACATGTCATCACAGACATTGTGGAGGGAAAGAAAGTTGGCACCTTCTTTTCTGAAGTAAAGCCTGCAGGTAAGTAGTTCCTCATTGAGTCCCATGGTCTGTAGATGATAGGCAGTCACACCATAGCCTCAATGAGACTGAAGATTGAGCTTTTCTGTAGGAATAGAGATCACAAAATTGATGTGTTAATATTCTGAAATACGGTATTGTTTCAAACACTCTTTGCAAAATTGGATTTTGCTTTGCTTTTGTAAAATTTAGTGAACCTGCTCAACTAGGCTTCCTATTCTCTCTAAAACGACTGTGTTAAAGAATATGAGCATCCATTTTCTTAAGAAACATTTGGTAGGCCCATGCTGGAGGCCTAGAAATGCAAAGACGCATAAGACAGTAAGACATGTAAGTACTCAACTGTTGGCAAAGATATTGCCATGTAATCTATATTCAGAAATGCAAACACATTAGAGAATATAAGCTAAAGTGGAATTGAAAAGAACTCTACAAGATGTAATTTATACTGTCTACCCCAGAAATATAGACAAGTTTCTTGTGTTTATGTCTGAGTTAACCTAGTGTATTCTTTTGCCACTTTGTCTGAATGACCTCTAGGAAGCAAGCACACCAAGACATTGAGCATTCATTCTGTGTATGTGATGAGCCTGCGCACATGCTGGGTTGCTGTCCATGATCTGATGTTTGCAAATATTCTTGCAGGTCCTACCGTTGAGCAGCAGGGAGAAATGGCTCGATCAGGAGGAAGGATGTTGGCCACTTTGGAACCTGAGCAGGTAATAACCCTAGCTAATAGTTTGGTTGGTTTTCACACTGAGTCATGCTGTGAGGTTTAGTGTAGTCAGGGCTGCCATCTCCCCCTCCATTCCTCTTGTCTCTACAGAGTTATTCTAGTTACAAGTGAGATTCAGATTTATTCTCCCTTTTCTCTTTCTGTAAATTTTATTTCCTCTTTTGTAGTCTCTGGCATAAGGTATCTTTTTGTCACAATGTTTTGACCAAAAACATCATGAAAATGATGAGACCAAGGAGGTTTCCTAAGCCTGCCACATACTGGACATGGAAATGTAGGAAAACTGCTTATTCTAATGCATCTGAATCACCTAACTTACCTTAGATGGAAGCTCAAAAGCCTGTCCTGTAGTCTGTGGCCTGCCCACCGTGAAGTGGCAGACACTACAAGTCTGGAAATGCAAGGCCATCAGGTGGAAGCTGGGGATTGGCTTCTCAAAGCTTGTGTTGCTAAGGATGGTGTATTTAGATTTCTTCTAGGGAGCACTTTGCCCTGAGAAAAAAGAAAATTTTAAATAACTACAAGTAGAGAAAGGAAAGCAAAAGAAGAGCTTAACTTGTGTTTCTAAACCACTTCTCTTTGCTTCCTCAGTAATCACACTGATTTGCCACACTTCTTAATCTAGCTGGGTAAGGAGTGAGGTCTCTTCAAGCATGCAAGACTGGGTTTTCCCCTTTGAATGAACTCATTAAATAAGTAATTGTCAAAATTGTCAAAATAAGTAGTTGTCAAGATTTATTTAATAAATAAACTATGTAGCCATTGATATTGAGTATCAATATCTCATGTACATATCATGAGATGTATATATCATGTGAATTCAAAATGCTAGCCCCCATCTTAGGGACCGATTGTGTAATTCATTGTGCCTTTTCCCTACTGCTGGACCGTGATCTGCTAATCATAATAATCAGGAATGGTAAAAGAAGAAGAAATACAAGAAGTAGGGGGAGATTAGTAGTGAGAGAGGAAGGAAAAAATGAGGGGAGCCAAGGTGTGTAATGGATGATAGAAGGTAAGGAGATTTCAATCAATGGTGACCTTAGATTTAGGAGCAAGGCCTGGCTCATTCAGAGGAGTAGGTTTAAGTATGGTATGGGTTCTTCTCAGATTAATGTAATTGCTTGTTTGTTTTACCTTTCTTCCTAGAGAGCAGAGATTATTCATCATCTGGCTGATTTGTTGACGGATCAGCGTGATGAGATCCTGTTAGCCAACAAGAAAGACTTGGAGGAGGCAGAGGGTAAAGACCAAGCAGTTTGGAATCAGTGTGACAGAGGGTTTTGTTTTGGTTCTTGTTCTTTGTTTTACTAATAATTCTTATAGCATAGTCTGCCTAAAGACAAGATCGTTATATGGGGCACCTGGGTGGCTCACTTGGTTAAGCATCTGACTTTAGCTTGGGTCATGATCTCTCGGTTTATGGCTTTGAGCCCCATATCAGGCTCTGTGCTGTGTGGAGCCTGCTACAGAGTCTCTCTTTCACTCTCTCTCTGTCCCTCCCTTGCTCATGCTCTCTCTCTCTTCCAATAAATAAATAAAAACTTTTAAAAATGTAAAAAAAAAAAAGATTGTTATAGAAGAAATTTTATATTATGTACTGTTTGTATTATATGCTGCTTGCTAGTATTCAAATTATGCTTACCATCTCCAACTCCTTTCCCGGATACTCTAGTACAGCCCTCCAGAGGAGCTTCTTCTATATCCACAGGTCATGAGCCATGGATACTATGGCAGTTCAGGGCAAAAAAGAAAAATATTGAGGACCCCACCATTTTAGACATTTCCCTAATAGCAGCCAACACTTACTGTGTCACTAGGCATCGTGCTGTAAAGGCTAGGATTTCATTTTATCTTTCCAACATGGTACCTTTGAGTTAGCTACTATTTATCATCCCTATTTTACAGAGGAAGAAACTAAAGCACAGGCTGGTTGTCATGAGCCTAAAACCATATGGCCAGTGACAAATCCAGGATTGAAACCCACAAGGACCATGAGTTTCTACAACCCATGTAAGATAGTTGTGGAAATAGTTTGTGGAGCTTCTCATGAAAGATAGCTTATCTCCTAGTTTATTAATCAGTGCGTGGCCTACCCGGAGCCAGCAGCAGATGCCATCCACAAATGCCTCTGAGGTGCAGATGGTAGAGGGAGTGATACGGCTGAACTCACAGTGCACATAACTAAATATGTTGACAGGGCAGCCCTTAGTCTTTCTCTCCTTCCTAATTCTCTGTATTTCTACCCTTAAAAATAGGCGGTGGTTTCATGGGGTTTTGAATTTCCTTTTCTCTTGAATAAATGTGCCTTAAATTAAACATCCAGATTAATAGTGTTCCCTTCAAAGAAACCTTGCAAGGCTTATTAGCATTGCTTTATTTCTCAAAACATTTTCAGCTATTGCTTTGGAACTTCCTTTAGAGTTTACATCTGGTCTTTTGAATTTTTGCAGTATTGGAAAGTCATAAAATAGATTTTCAGAAATGAGAGAATCTTTGATGATTATCTTACCCAGTTCTTTAAAGTAAAAGAATTAAGACCCACCAAAGTTAAAGCTGTTGCTCAAGGTCACACAGCTAGTTGTTGGCAAAAGTCTGACTTCTGACCTCTGTTCTGTCTCTCTGTAAGGATGCACGGTGGCTTATGAACAGAGTCCTTGCTATACATGAGCAGGGTGGTCCCCTTTGACTTCCTAAGCCCTTTTCAGGAAATTTATCCTAAGAAACTATTTCAAGAAGAAACTGCTCTGTATGTAAAGATTCTTGGAGCAGGGTTATTTATCACACTGAAAACTGCAAACAGCCTCAGGGTTTAACAACATAGATCTGGTTAAATGTGTGAAGCTGTGTCAACTCAGTAGAGTATGTAGTAGGAATTACAACAGTTTTGGCCACAAGGAAAGCATACATGCATTGTGAGATGGAAAACCAGAATGTAACATTTAACATGCACTGTGTTTAAAACTTGATGTTAACACATAGTGAAGAAAATGGATTGATGTAATTGGTTGTTAAAATGATGATTCAGCTTTTTTCTTAATATAAGTAGCCTCCTCTCCTCCTAAGTAGAACACTTTCTATTATTTTATCTTGGTGGATATGACTATAAAAAAGAAGGAAATTTTTCATCATCTCATCTCAACATTAGCCATAGTAATGGTTTGTTATGTGTGATTCCAGGTGATTTTCCCTGGTATATATACATGTGTGTATATGAATGTGTGTGTGTGTGTGCGCGCACGCACGTGCAAAGAGAATCATACCATGCAAACAATTGCATTTAAATTTAAAGAAAATTCTGAATATGAACTTACCATTATTGGGGCACCTTGGTGGCTCCATTGGTTAAGCATCTGACTCTTAATCTCAGCTCATGTCTTGATCTCAGGGTGAGTTCAAGCCCCACATTGGGCTTTGCACTGGCCATGAAGCCTACTTAAAAAAAAAGAGAACTTACCATAACTCTATTTAAGTTTTTATTTCAAAAGGAAACATCATTATTGCTTCTGATTATAAAAATCAGTCAATCATTACAAAAATTAAAATAACACAGAAAGAGATCATCACTGTTCTTGTGACTTCCAGACATCTCCACATGCATATATGCAATATTTGATAAATAGGATCTTATACATGCTTTTTTGTAGTTTGCCCTCTTCATAAACTGTATCCTGGACAGCTTTCCATATCAGTATACATAGATATTTCTAATAACTGCCTCGTAGTTCATTGTCTAAATGTTGAAGTAGAATTTGATTCTATTATACAAATGCTGTGACAAGTATCGTCATTACATGCGAGTTTCCTCATGCAGATGACAAATTTCTGGAACTGAATTTGCTGACACAAAGGATATCAGTGTACATACTTTCACATGATGAAATACACTGCCAAAAGCACCCTAGAAAACTAAGTGACATGTCATTGTCTTCTCGAGACCCGGTAAATTCGTGTCTGTTCCTAACACAGTGCCGTGTGTTCAGTAAAGCAGCTGCAGCCTGTCCAGAGCCACTCCTTTATCATGTGTTCCTCACACCTCTTCAGGGAGACTCGCAGCTCCTCTGCTGAAACGTTTGAGCCTCTCCACATCTAAACTGAACAGCCTGGCCATTGGTCTACGGCAGATTGCAGCCTCCTCACAGGACAGCGTGGGGCGTGTTCTGCGTCGAACCCGTATTGCCAAAAACTTGGAACTAGAACAAGTGACTGTCCCAATTGGGGTCCTGCTGGTCATCTTTGAGTCTCGCCCAGACTGTCTACCCCAGGTATGTGCCTGCCATTGGGGTAGGGAAAGAATGTTGTTTCAGGACCCACACTCTCCCAAAGGTGGTTTTCTTTTTCTCTTCTTTTGGTTAGAAAGTTTTCTTTTTTTCTTCCCCAGAGATAATTTTTTGAGACATCTTAGGTGGTTCTTAAAGTAATTTATGTATTGACTCTTCCAGTGATTCAAAAGTACATATTCTTATGTCCATTTTACAGCTGAGGAAACTAAAGCTTACAGAAGTTACTATTCCTGTCACACTTGTAACAGATGAACCTTCCCTAGCACAGCACAGGAGCACGTTTCCATATGTCTTAGCTCACCGGGGCACTATATTCCTGACCACAGCGTCCCTGCTAGCTTACTGCAAGGTCATTCATCTTGTAGCTGGTTTTACCCATGTCAAAAAGACCCCTTTGTTCTCAGTGTCACAGATGGCCTTCCTTAGGGAAGTCTCTCAGGAAAAAAGAACTTTCAGTATTTAATGGAAATACAACCCTCGTTAAGGAATTTGGCATATTACAGGCTAGTGTTGAGAAATCATATGTTAAAAGATGTTTCCAAGAGCCATGCCTTGATATACAGAGTGGCATTAGAGGGTTGCCCCACTGGTTACCGTAAACACTTTAAAATCTGGGGACAGTTTTCCCACCAGACTGAACAGTAGGATGATGCCAGCTTTTTCTTTTCATTAGCCTCAAAATCTCAAAGAGAAAATCTATTTAAAAACATAAAACAGGGGCGCCTGGGTGGCTTAGTCGGTTAAGCGTCCGACTTTCACTTAGGTCATGATCTCGCGGTTCGTGGGTTCGAGCCCCGCATCAGGCTCTGTGCTGACTGCCGGCTCAGAGCCTGGAGCCTGTTTCAGAGTCTGTCACTCCCTCTCTCTCTGACCCTCCCCTGCTCACGCTGTCTCTCTCTCTCTCTCCTAGAAATAAATAAAACATTTAGAAAAAAAATAAAATAAAATAAAAATAAAAAATAAAAAAAATAAAAACATAAAACAGGGGTACCTGGCCAGACTCAGTAGTGTGTGCAGCTCTTGATCTCGGGGTTGTGGGTTCAAGCCCCCTATTGGGCCTACTTAAAATAAACAAATATCTAAAGAAAAATAAAACAGAAACAGCACCTCTTTGCCATAGGGTACAGGGTGAGCACGGGAGCCTGAAATGCTTTGTGGTGAATACTCCCTGACATGACCTAAAACCAGCTTGTTTACTCTGTACCATGGGGTTTGTCCTCAGCCCCTGGTGGGTGCTGGCACACTGGCCCCTCTGGCCACACACCTGTTTGCAGAAATACCAAGTGAAAACTGTAGAACCGGAATCTGCTACTGGAATGGGTCCATGACGTTTCTCTGCTACTTTTCATCCATACTAGCAGATACTTCATATGGAGAAAGGTCTCTTCTCTAGCCAACTACAGCTCATGCTCCTCACCTGGGATCTTAACTCTGGATGACATCACAGAATCCATGAGTTGTAAAAGTTGTATGCAGTTCTGTGTGCTAGTGCATTTATAGAGAGAAGATTTACATTATTTTTATAAGGGGTCCATGAGCAACAAAACCAAAAAAGGATTAAGAGCCACTAATCAAGACAATAAACTATTTGTAAAAAAATTAAAAAAATTAAAAAATAAAATAAATAAAATAAAATAAAATATGTAGAAAACAGAAAAAAAAAAAGAGCCACTAATTGAGATGAACATGCTCAGGCAAGGTTTTTTAGTAAAATTCCTTTTTATTACATTATAAAAATGGGAAGATTTTCATTCATCCCAAGAACATTCAGAAAGTTAAACTTCAGGGGACGCCTGGGTGGCTCAGTCATGATGTTAATCATTATAGACTCTTGGTTTCGCCTCAGATCATGATCTTGCAGTTTGTGAGTTCGAGCCTCACATTGGGCTCCATGCTGACAGTGCAGAATCTGCTTGGGATTCTTTCTTTCCCTCTCCCCCATGTATGAGCGCATTCATGCTTTCTCTCTCTGTTTCAAAATAAATATGTAAACTTTAAAAAAATAAATAAAAGAAAGTTAAGCTTCAGGCCTTAGATTATCATGTCAGAGTTATTAACTCTTTGTTTTAAGAGGGTAACTAACCCTCCTCCTGGGCGGCCTGCTTTTTCACTAGAGTATTTCTGCAAACAGGTATGTGGCCAGAGGGGGCAGTGTGCCAGCAGCGGCTGAGGACAGACCCCCTGGTATGGGAGTCCTAGGCGAACAAGTTAGTTTTAGGTCATGTCAGGGAGTATCACCACAAAGCGTTTCAGGCTCCTGTGCTCTCTGCATGTGCTCCTTTCCTGGAAATCTCCACCACAGCTTGTCCAGGGTCTGACAGGGCTCTAGTCTGCTCCAGGTTCTCAGCACTAACATTTAAAGCTCTTAGAATAGTTACAGGGCCAGAGTAGGATGTGGCCAGAGAGGCCACCCAGCCTCAGACAAAGGCAGCTGAGCTCTGTGTCCTCTACCAGGACCAAAGTGGGGAGGGGAGCCATGTGATGCTGGCTACTTAGGTTACTTTGCTAATGGTGCTAAGGATGCTGTATAGTTTACTGAAATTGGTGCTTTGGCTCTGGAGTCAAAGCTTCTGGCCCTGCCAGTTAGAAGTTATGCGACTTTGAGGAGTTACCAACTTCTCTGGGCTTCAGTGTCTTTATCTGTAAAGCAGGAGATAAAACAGGTATTTAATTCCCTGGAATGTCATGAGGTTTAAATAGATTAGGCCTTATTAAAGTGTTCAGTAAATGTTGTTACTATATTATATAATAATCAGTATAGTGTATAAAATACTGTTACTGCATTTTCTCTTTGGTTCACTGCTCTCTCCCCTTTGATCTGCAGGTGGCAGCCTTGGCTATAGCAAGTGGTAATGGCTTATTACTCAAAGGAGGAAAGGAGGCCACACATAGCAACCGGATTCTTCACCTTTTGGCCCAAGAGGCCCTCTCAATCCATGGAGTCAAGGAGGCCATACAGCTGGTAGGCCCCTGGGAATGAGCCAAATCAGACCCAGAGGGGCTGGATCTGATGTTTGGGTGTTTGAAGCAAAGCTTACTTAGGTCATGTAAGGCCAAGCCATTTTTATAGGCAAGCTTGACTGGAACAGCAGCAGGTCCTGTGTACCTGCTGACATTGGACGGTGACAGGGGCTTCTTGGTCCACATGGGTCTTCAGTGGCTTTGAAGGCCACTCTCATTCAGCTGTGTCCTGGCACTGTGATTTACAAGTGTACTTGTTACCAATTCATTCTTGGCACACACTTACCTAGAGTATGAGGTCTGGGTTCTGCTCACTGGAAGAGTGATTTAGGGCAAGTCAGATGAGACGGTTAATGAAAGTTTGTCATAAACCACTGTGTAGCATGTAAGAATGAGGTCATGCTATTATCACTATTGTTATTATGTTCATCATTTTAACCACTGTCTCACTCTCCTTAGCCAGCAGGTGGAGGTTTTGAACTAGACAGTATTAGGTACAGCTTACTGAGCACCTGCTGTGGGCAGGGCAACTCCCATCCATTGCCTCATTTAATCTTCCATACCAACCGTAACGGGGAGATGGCATCAGAATGAGGGGGAAAAAAACAGGCTCAGATCTAAAATCACCCAGTCTATGGTAAAGTTTAGATTTGAACCTAAGCTAACTCTAGATCCTTCACTTTCTCCATCAAGGCCCATCTACTCCAACATTCCAGGATTCTGCTGGCTGCTGGGACAGTGTCTGTAAACCCACTGTATTACATGCTCCCTGAAGGAATTGGGTTTTTCTTATGGCTCCACAGCGGGTGGAAAGGGCACAGATTGTAGGTATTCAGATCCCATCTCTACCACATCCTACCTTAATCAGACAGGCTTCCTGCCACCTCCCCCCCCCCTTCTTATTGATATATAACATCCATAAGGTAAAGTATACAAATCTTACATGAAAAACTCTGTGACTTTATCCACATATCCCTGTACACATACATACATAGGCACCAGCCATATCCAGCTGTGGAACCCTTCCAGCACCCCAGAAGGCGCCCTCTTGCCCTTCCTGATCAGTATGCCCCAGGCCCACCACCAGGTAGCCCATGGTTTACTTCTTTCACATTCACCTTCTTTTGTTTATTCTTGGACTTCATTATAAATGGAATCATAGCAAAATACACTCTTTCGTGTTATATTTCTTTCGTGCATCTTTATGTCTGTGAGAACCATCCACATTGTTACATCCAGCAGTAGCTTTCTCTTTTTATCACCATGTGGTAGTCCAGGTACCTGTTATCCTTTCTTTTGTTGGCAGAAAGTTTTCTTTTCTTTTGTTGGCAGACTTTGGGTTGTTCCCAATTTGGGGCTATGCAGAATAAAATTGTTACGAGCATTCTCATACGTATCTATTTGTGTTTCTCTGTAAGTAACATGACCATATGGGTGAATTAAAAATCAAGAGGAAGAAAAAAGGCCGTCCTCTCCGTGTCCTGAAACAAGGGCTTTGCTGCAGGGGAGAGCTAGTCAGGGGCACCTGTGGAGAACCAGGACTCCTGAGCAAGACCCAGCCTGTCCTGAAGGCTATGGTTGGAGAAGCCACAGTGCAGCACTCCCGTTATGATCCTCCTAACCGGCCACAATCTGTAGCCCCTCTGACTTCCAGTGGTAGCGCTTGGTACCTTGGTACCATTTTGAAAATTATCTGCCCTGAGTTATGGCGCATTGTGTCCTAGTCATGTCTTTCCTGCTAGACTCTGAGCTCTTTGAGGACTGGGACATGTTCTCCAGGTTTGTAATACAGAACACAGCACCTAATGTATAGTGTTTGTGTAAGTATTTGCTAGAAGGCTTTTCAGTTCCCATGATAACAGGACATTTATCTTATTTTTGGAATAAGTTTTCACAGCATCTGATTTAGTTCTCCCCAAGGTACAGACATTTATCTGCAGAAGGGGTGCTGCTACTTTGTATTTCGTGAGGTCAGATGTCATTTTTTTGCTTTTATTTCTCTACCTCTTCAGGTGAATACCAGAGAAGAAGTGGAAGACCTTTGTCGCCTAGACAAAATGATAGATCTCATCATCCCACGTGGCTCTTCCCAGCTGGTCCGAGATATCCAGAAAGCTGCTAAGGGGATCCCGGTGATGGGGCACAGTGAAGGGATCTGCCACATGTATGTGGATTCAGAGGCCAGTGTCGATAAAGCCACCAGACTGGGTGAGTTAGACGGGGGCCCTGTTGGGTGCCGGCAGAATATTTAGCAGATCCTCTGTGACTTGGGAGCATGTTAATAGAAACAATCATTTGTCTTCCTTCTTTCAGTCCGAGATTCTAAATGTGAGTATCCAGCTGCCTGTAATGCTTTGGAGACTCTGTTAATCCACCGAGATCTGCTGAGAACGCCATTATTTGACCAGATCATTGACATGCTGAGAGTGGAACAGGTACAAGTCCACAGGACTCCTGCGTCCCTTTCTGTCTTCCATTTTGAGATTGAGAAGCCTGTGGGTAGCTGCCTTACCATTTAAGGCAATTTAAGAAGCAATGCTTTTGAGCATCTTCTGTGTAAAGGGTTCTGTGCTAAGTACACAGAGAGGAGTAAGACTTATCCCTGCCTTCTCACAGTCTAGTAGATAGAAGAAACCCATGCTCACATAGCCACATTACAAAGTGGAATGTGGTAAATGCTAAGAGAGGTCAAAGATAAGACAGATCACATGGCAGCCCACTGAAAAGACTGTTTCTGGAACCTTTTATTCAGGCGGCATAGTGTCAAGTTTATATTTCTGAACACACATTTCTATTTGGATTTGGTTTGAAAAGATTGTGCAGAAATGTTTTTAAACCAGAAATTTATATGTGCCCACCTCACCACCAGGGCCTTCAATTAACCAATTTTAATGTACTTAATACAGTGGTATTTGAGAGTTCACAATTTATATGATGTCTCTCTGGACTATTTTATTACCATTCCATTGAGGTTATAAAAACCAATGCCAGTACGTTTCACACAAATGTATGTTCCATCTTAAAGTCCTAATTGCAAAGAAAAATAGATGCTCTCCAGGCAAAAACAGACAGCCTTAAGTTTTCTGGCAGAACACATTGTAAGCTTTAATATCTGATGTCACTGCACTCTTTCAGAATTATATAAACAAGCACAGTATCTAGAGAAAGTGGCTGCTGGCCTCGGTTGCTTTGACCCTAAGTATATGTCTCTTCCCTTTCATCCTTTAACTGGAAGGGAAAGCTCTAGTCAACTTAGAAATGGTCATGGTCCCTATGAGAACCTGAAAGGATTGTTTTGAAAATGAAAATACACCCCACAAATTAAAATGGAGTTAGATCGCATGATCACTCACGTTTGAAGCCTTACTTGACGTTATTGGCCTCTTTGATTGGGCACCTATGTATGCCAAACACCACACTGGACTGTGCTGGACTAGACAGGCGGAAATCTCTTCTTTAGCCAGGAATAAACCCCTCCAGTCCTGATTCAGATGAACCCATGACCTTCTTAGTCATTCAAGTCAAGATTGCCTTGAAATTCCTCAAATCAAAAACCAGTCAATATGTGTACTTCGTGCAACATCTTTGTGTTGCAGGAGGTAAGCCAGCAGCGTGACTTGCCCAGAGCGATGGGTTTCTTGTCTGTGAGGAATGTGGTTGGACCCCAGGCCTATAGGAAGTGGGGTCGCAGGTAGAAGGGCCTCAGGGGCAACAAGAACAGGACAAACTCTGCTTGTTGTAACTTGAGCAAAGGCAAGAGTTTGGTCCCAAAGAACCAAGGCAGTAACGCTGCCCTGGAGAGGTCTCAGGGACTGAAGCCTGAGTGGGATCAGACTTGTGACTGGGGCCTTCAGTGACCAGCCTCCAGTTCTTCAATTCATCCAGCCAGGAGCAGGGTTAACCCCAAAGTCTGATGCTGAGCTGAGCCTAGCGCTGGGGCCTGACTGACAAAGTTAGAAATCTGACAGGTGAGCATGGTTTGAGGTGATTACCAAGTGTTCTTTTCCTCTGAAGCATGCTTAGGACTTCTCCAGAGAGAAGGGAGTAGAAATGTATACAGGCCATCGGCTCCTTTCCATGTGAGTCCATGCCTGCGTGTCCCATGTTCAGGGAGCAGGATTTTTATAGCCAAGTGTTCATTTTAGTGAGACGCCAGCAGTCCAGGGCTTATGTCGGTAGCCTGTTAAATGCCTTGCACATTCTTAACATTCAAAGGCTTCCTGCTTAAATCCCTGCTCCAGTTTTACTGAAGGCCCATTGCTGGCAAGTAGCCAGTTAACATTTTCAAAAGCCCAGCATTCTGCGGGGTGGTGGGCTGCTTCTAAAAGGAAGTCAGGACATCCCCAAAGGCAAGGGAATCAAGAGCAGAAATGAACTCTTGGGACCTCATCAAGATAAAAAGCTCTGCACGGCAAGGGAAACAATCAACAAAACTAATAGGCAACCGATGGGATGGGAGAAGATAGTTGCAAATGACATATCAAATAACGTACTAGTATCCAAAATCTGTAAGAAACTCACCAAACTCCACACCTTAAAAACAAATAATCCAGTAAAGAAATGGGCAGAAGACATGAACACACACTTCTCCAAAGAGGACATGCATATGGCCAACAGACACATGAAATGATGCTCAGCATCCCTCCTCACCAGGGAAATACAAATCAAAACTACTCTGCGATACCACCTCACACTGGTCAGAGTGGCTAAAATGAGCAAATCAGGAGACGATAGCAAATCAGCATCTCTCAGACGATAGATGCTGGCAAGGATGTGGAGAAATGAGCACCCTCCTACACTGTTGGTGGGAATGTAAACTGGCGCAGCCCCTCTGGAAAACAGTGTGGAGGTTCCTCAAAAAGTTAACAACAGAACTCCCCTATGACCCAGCAATAGCACTGCTAGGAATTTACCCAAGGGATACAGGAGTGCTGATGCATAGGGGCACATGTACCCCAATGTTCACAGCAGCACTCTCAACAATAGCCAAAACATGGAAAGAGCCTAAGTGTCCATCAATGGACGAATGGATCAAGAAGATGTGGTTTACCTACACAATGGAATACTACATGGCAATGAGAAACAATGAAATCTGGCCATGTGTAGCAACATGGATGACCTTGAGGGTGTTATGCTGAGTGAAATAAGTTAGGCAGAGAAGGACAGATACCATATGTTTGCACGTATACGTGGATTAGGAGGAACTTAACGGAGGACGATGGGAGAGGAGAAGGGGAAAAATAGTGGGAGAGAGGGAGGGAGGCAAACCAGGAGAGACTCTTGAATATTGAGAACACTGAGGGCTGGTAGGGGTGGGGGGGAGGGGAAGGGGGGTGATGGGCATGGGGGAGGGCACTTGTGGGGATGAGCACTGGGTGTTATGTGGAATCCAACTTGACAATAAACTGAAAGAAAATAAAATAAAAGGAAGTCAGGGGCTGGTTTAGTTGTCCAGGCCATAGCAGCCACAGGCTCCTCACCTTCAGGCTCATCTGGCTGTTTGGTTCTGGAGGAGGAAGTACAAGTTGGCTGACTGCTTTTGGGTTTATATGGTCACCTCTCGACGTACTCTATAACAGGTGAAAATTCACGCAGGCCCCAAGTTCGCCTCTTATCTGACCTTCAGCCCCTCTGAAGTAAAGTCCCTCCGAACTGAGTATGGGGACCTGGAATTGTGCATTGAAGTGGTGGACAGCGTCCAGGAGGCCATCGACCACATCCACAAGTATGGCAGCTCGCACACAGACGTCATTGTCACAGAGAATGGTCAGTGCGTACGTGCACACGTGCTTCAAGCATGTAGCACCTGCTTTTTCCTCTTTGGTCTCCATGGGGTCCAGCTCCCTTCAGTCCTTCTGGCTGCAGGAAAGCATAGTCTGAATACACTAATGCTACTGCCTCGCATTAGTTGAATTCACTAGTCTACTGAGTGCTCTCACATCTGCCACCTCATTATATTGTCACAGCAGCCCCAGGGGAGGAGGTAGGGAAGAAATGATTAGCTCTACTCTGAAGATGACTCACTCTGTGTCATAGGTATTACCATTTAATCCATACAGCAGTCTTTCCAGGTTATGGGAATAAACCCATTTACAGCTGAGGAAACCTAGCAGAAGCAGCTCACCACACTCATTCACCCCACAGATAAGTACTGAGAGACACACATAGATGTCAGGCACTGAAGGCCCAGCAGGAAAGGCAACCAGTGGTAAATGGCCTCCTCACGGGATCTGCAGTCGGTTTATTGGCAAATCACAACACTACAAATTATAATAGCTGATGTTTACTGAGCACTTACGTGTGCCAGGCTCTGGGGTGAATGCTCTATGGATTTCAAGTCATTTTATCCTCTACACAACTCTACGAGCTAGGTAATATTGTTAGTCTGCATTTTACTCTGGCATAGAGAGCTTCTGAAACCTGCCCAAGGTCACCCAGCTGTTGAGTTTGGAACTGGAATTCAAACTTAAGCATTCTCACTCTGGAACCTATAAATAATATAGTCAGGTCATTGCAGCATCAAGGGTATGTCTACAGGAGGAGATCTCGATTCCAACCGTTTTTCAAAGGCAGCTACTCTTTCCATAACAGGGACTGATGAAGCTGGTTAGTCTTCCTTTTTAGATTTTTCACAAGTCTGCATGTTTAATGTGTGGAGAAGCTCTTCAGGGGCCAGGGCCCAGCCCTGATCAGTCACCAGTGCGTGACTGGAAGGAGGGATGTTCTCTAGGGCTCACCCTAACTCAGTTTCTTCTCTTTATGCTGCAGAGAAAACAGCAGAGTTCTTCCTCCAGCACGTAGATAGTGCCTGTGTGTTCTGGAATGCCAGCACTCGCTTCTCTGATGGCTACCGCTTTGGACTGGGTAAGAAAGATTCTGGTCAGGAAAGAAAGGAGTCCCTTTGTGAATCACTGTGTGGTCCAAAGAGTATGGTGAAGGTGGAAGAGATACCTCTTCTTTACAGTCACATACTTGATCAAAATAATAGGGACAAAATTGTGGGAGGAGGGGTTGATGAGAAAGAATAGAAACAATGAGCCAGGAAGTCCTGTCACTAAGCATTTTGCATGTTAAGAAGGTAGGTACTTGTCTTTTCTTTTTCATAGTTCTTTGAGATTCAGAGAAGTGAAGTAACTTGCCCAAAGTCACCCAGCTGTCTTTTAGACTCAAAGTACAAGTCCAAAGGCTGGGTTGCTCCCACTAGTGTATGACAGACCACAGCATGTCTGCATGCACAGGTTGTGACAGGTGTACATGCCAAGGCCTCCCAAGAGCACTGCTGTTGCAGACTTATTCCTTCAAAGAGACGTAGCCAGGTTGCCTGAGAGGGAGGAATTATCCATGAGGACAGGACATAAGAACGTTTTAATATGTATGCTGTGCATCAAAAACAGGTAAGCCCAAAGGTGGCAAGGTTTACTTCTAAAACAGACCTTTGAAATAAAAAGTTTCAGAAAGACACTCTCTCCCCTTCCATCATTTGAAATAAAATCTCCAGGGGCACCTGGCTGGCTTAGTCAGTGGAGCATGTGACTCTTGATCTCTGGGTTGGGGGTTCGAGCCCCACATTGGGTGTAGATGTTAGTTAAAAATAAAATCTTTAAGGGGCACTTGGGTGGCTCAGTTGGTTAAGCGTCCGACTTTGGCTCAGGTCTTGATCTCATGGTTCATGGGTTCGAACCCCGCATCAGGCTCTGCGCTGACAGCTAGCTCAGAGCCTGGAGCCTGCTTCAGATTCTGTGCCTCTCTCCCTCTCAGACCCTCCCCTGCTCACACTGTCTCTCTCTCTCAGAAATAAATAAATTAAAAAAACAAAAAATAAGTAAATAAAATCTTAAAAAAATTTTTTTAATAAAAAGAAAATCTCCATTCCCCAGTAGTATAAGGTTTTTCAATCTCTAGTTTTCAGAGATGAATTATACAGAGCTCTAGTAAGGCATTTATGACACATGTGAGAATTATTTCAACCAGTGAAAACATTTTAATCCTTCTGAATTTTTGAATAGATAATCTGCCTAGAGAAATTCTTCTCATTGAATTACAGAAGGTGGTTAAAGAGAATTTTATTCAGTTATTTTGTTTTGTTTTTTTTAAAGGTTTTTGTTTATTTCTAGGAGAGAGAGAGAGAGACAGCGTGAGCAGGGGAGGGTCAGAGAGGGAGTCACAGACTGAAACAGGCTCCAGGCTCTGAGCTGGCAGTCAGCACAGAGCCCGACGCGGGGCCCGAACCCACAAACCGCGAGATCATGACCTAAGCGAAAGTCGGACGCTTAACTGACTAAGCCACCCAGGCGCCCCTTATTCAGTTATTTTGAACCATTAGACCCTTTATAGTTAGTTGCCTATTTCTGCTATGTTGGGCTTTGATTTAATTATTTCACTTGCACTGATTTTTGTGTTCCTTGTTCTTGAAGAAGAAATAGCAGCATACTTTTAAGGACTGGGGTGCCCAGGCTTCAAGTGAAAGTCCAAGATAGGGGAGAGCAAAAGACCACCCCATTGTCCTTCCATCACCTGCGCAGAACAGACACTCAAACTCTGGTTGAGTTAAATTTCTATGAAGTGCATTAATAACAGTGACAAGTGATGTTTATTGAGCATTTACGTATTCCCTGCACTGCACTAAGTGTATCTTGTGCATTGTTTCAATTAGTTCTACATGATGGATTCTATTATTTTCCTCATTTTCCAAATGAACTGAAGCACGAGAAATGGTTAGGCATCATGCCCGAAGTCATGAGGGCTCTACGCTATTAAAGCAGAATTTGAATTGGTGGTCACACAGTCCTTGCCAGCCACCACCCCCAAGCATATCCCCACTCAGGTGCCTCTGCCCCTGCTGGTCTCTGCCTGCACCGCCTCTCCACCTGCCCCTTCCCCTGCCTATATCCTTGTCACTGTTCAGCTTTTGGAGGAAAAGTGCTTCCTCAGGAAGGCTCTCCCTAACCACTCTATTAAATGTGACGGCCACCCTCCCCACACAGTCTATCATAGCATCCTTCCCTGCGCTCCCATCACCACCTGAAATTATTTGCTGCAGTGTTCTTTGGCTGCCTTGCCCACGTAAGCATAACCTCCGTGAAAATACCACCTCATGTTAGTTATTCACCACTGCCTCCCCAGGGCCCAGCACGGTGCCTTATACATAATACATGATCAGTAAAGTTGTGACAAACAAGGGGAGCCCTACCTCCACTGTGTACCATGCAGAACACCCACCCAGACCCAGGAGGACCCCTAAAGCCCTGACCCTAGGCTTAGAGCAAGAGGGAAGTATTCAGTAACTGTCTAATGGGCACATGTGCTAAGCGTTCTGGGGGATATTGAGACCATGTCCCTACATTCTAGGACTTAACGAAGTTTGGGGGAGATGAAACCTTTGTACTGGACGTTGTTGTACACCTCAAAAAATGTCCAAATGTCAAATTGTGATACACACTCCAGACCCTAAGTAGATACCAGAGCCAGCACTCCTAGTCTTGTCAAAATGCATTTGGGATAAAAGTGCACGAGAGATGCCCACACAGTGTTTCATCAGGAGGGGACTGCGTCGTGATTCATAGTGACCAGAGAGCACATTGATGGGGACCATGGAACTCAGGCGGGCCTGGGGAGGATGGAGTGGGCAGACGAGAGGGTGCCAAGTGGGGAGAAGGGAAAGCTGTGGGTCTGGTGGGCGGACAGGAAGTGGAGGCTCGGGAAGCCGCAGCTTCATCTGCTTTTTCTCAGGAGCTGAAGTGGGCATCAGTACGTCGCGGATCCACGCACGGGGGCCAGTAGGATTGGAGGGACTGCTGACTACAAAGTGGCTGCTACGAGGGCAGGACCACGTGGTCTCCGATTTTTCCGAGCACGGAAGTTTGAAATATCTTCACGAGAACCTCCCTGTGCCTCAGAGAAATACCAACTGAGAGCATTCCTAGAAGAGGCGGGAAGGATTAGAGAGGTCTTCACAGTTAAGATGGTCTTAAGAATCTTGGGATGAGCCAGGGCTTCATCTCCCACTTCCTGGAAGGGTCTGCCTCTGGGAAAATGCACCTCAAGGCTTTCAGGCTCAGTTTGGCAACGCCACTCCTGGCTAATGCGCATATTCCAATTCACCCTTCTCTCTCTTAAGTTAGAAAAGAACTACCGTGGACAGGGACTTTGCTTCTCATAGTCCAGTTCCCTGTGATGATAGAAGCAGAAAGGTACAGCTTCCCCCCATAAAGGGCAGTGGAAAAAAATCATGGCCACTTTTACCTTTTTATCGCCTCAATGAGGTAACATCTCCCTTGGCATTTGGTTGGCACTAGAGCCCATCACACCTAATATGTCTTTCCACATTTCATTTCTTCATGCTTACGGTCATTTTCAGAAAGGAAAGGTTTGTAATTTAGAAGAGGGGCAGCTCTTCTTTTTGGCATTCTCCTCAGAAACAGTTGCAGAAATGGACTGAATCATTTCCACCAGGAAGATTGACTTTTGTATTTATTGTGGGGTAAATATATGGAAGTATTCCAGATGCTCACCCCTCTCCAGACCCAGAGGACCCAGCATTACCCGGATGCAGTTGGAACCTGGAGCTGTGAGTCCCAGAAAGAAGTAACTACAGCAATTATGCTTGAAATTTTTATATGAATTACTTTGTCACCCTGCCCTTTCCCTCTAAAACAAAAATTAAAGGGTTATTTTAATACTTTGGATTCCTCCCCCTTTTTGAGAAATAAAGTTCTTAGGAAAAGCCTGTGTGCATGGTTAGCATTCTCACACTTGTTTCTTTGCCCTCCCTGTGGTCCTCACACCCCGCTGTTACGCACTGGCTCTTCTCTGGAAGTTGGCTGGGGAGAGTCATTCTGCCTCATGTGTCAATGGAGGCAGTACAGGCAGATCGCGGGGGACGAACCCAGACTGAGAGCACGGGACGAAAAACAGGATATTGAGCCCGGGAGCATAAAGACTGAAAGCCTGGGGACGATCTGAAGAGTAGCTGTGTATGGCACAAATGTGCTGCCATTGTGCCAGGTTCACATAGTGTCCGCTTGGCCACAGCCCTCGCCGACATCCTTGGGTCACTTTGGATTACCCTCCTTCCCTCCATTGAGCTCCTGTTTTAGGGTCCCTGGTGCCTGACAGTCTGCAGTTGAAAACTTTCTTGTCTCGTGGGGGTCCTTCCAAAGAAATAAGCACTCACTCACATGCTTCAATATCCTCTGAGGATGTTTTATGAGCACAGGAATTACAGTGTCGTGTGGAACATGTTCCCAGACTGGCTCCAAACTCTACTTCACATCCAGACCCTTACATGGTCTGGCAGGCCACCCTGCCTGCCCTGCCCTCGGAATGGGGAATTCTGGCATAGCTTGCCTGAAAAGGCAATAAACAAAGCTCTGCTGAAACTGTATGGCAAATAGCGCAATCAGCTCCCATCCAGACAACAAATACCCCTGTAGTCAAAAATAGAAAGTGACCCAAGAAGGCTGGGGCCCTTGGGGAAGACTCCACTGAGGAGGCAGGCCTGGACCTGGGCCCTGAGCAAGATGAGTCACAGGAGTAAGGAGTGGGCAGGGGACTGGTGCAAGCAGAAGTCTGGAGCTGGGACAGAAAACAAGTCTGGAGCAGTGAATACGCCGATGTGGGGCAGAAGTTCATACAGGTATATAGGAAGGTGTTTCGTCCCAGACAGCTGAGACGGGTATCATCCCGAGGGGAGCCGCTCTTAGGGCATGGCATGGCAATGGGGTTTGGGCTGGAAAACGCAGGTAAAGCTCAGTCATCCAACAGGGCCATTTCCCCTATAGAGCAACTACAGGCTTAGTCCTTTTCTACAGAGGCCATGAGCAGACTGCATTCTCCCATTTTCAACCCAAAGTGAAGAGATCGACAAAGGAGGATCAGGAAGCAGAGCCTCACAAGTACTCCCAGGCAATCTTTAGTACTTACTTGTTTGCCTTTTATTCTGGAATCTCTCATGTGGGCCTGCCCTTTTCCTGGCTACCAACTCCTGACAACAGGCTGTTGTTGAATCAACCAGTTCTAAATCTCCCACCTCCCCCACCTAGGGGGAAAAAAGCCCTCTGGGATATGTAAGGTAACAAATGTTCTTCAAGCCAAGTTTACTTGAGTTTAGTTTTTCTGTTACGGCCAAAAGTATGTCAGTGATACAGTATATACATAGATTATGGGGCATTTAGAAAAGTATTCAGATGGAGAGAAAGGTGGGCAGCCAAGGACTAGATTATAATAAGTGTTGTCTGCTCTGTATCCCTTATTTCGTGAAATCATCTCTCCTGCATTTTGCAGTAATCCCACTCAGTCTTTGTGATTCAGGGGAGGTTAATGCTGATCTTCCCCCCTGGCCCCCACCACCAACCTCACTATTTTTAGTGGTAGTCACATGACTCTGATAAGTCAGAGTACTGTTTCCCTGCTTACACTGATTGTCTCAGGACTGGGCATATGAGGATTTAAACTTGGCCAAATGGCATTCTAGTAGAACTAAATTTTAGTGCAGTTATTAAGAAAAACAAATTGTCCTCATCCTTCCATGTAGAGGAAAGTATCCAACACAAGAAAGGGTGCCAGGGGATAAATAGAGACTTTGACTACCTGGTTCCATCATTGCCTGAAATCCACCCCTGGACTCCATGATTTCCTTTTCTTTTGCTTAAGCTAGTTTAAATTTGGTTGAGTTTGAGTTTTGAGTTCTATCCCTTTCATCTTAGAAGACTCTGGATAAATATCCCAGTGTTCAGGGGCACCTGGGTGGCTCAGTCAGTTAAGCATCTGACTCTTGATTTTGGCTCAAGTCATTATCTCACAGGTTTGTGGGATCGAGCCCCATGTTGGGTTCTGCACTGACAGCTCAGAGCCTGCTTGGGGTTCTCTCCCTCTCTCTCTGTGTCCTTCTCTCTCTCAAAAGTAAATAAAACATTTTAAGAGCATATGTGTGTGTGTGTGTGTGTGTGTGTGTGTGTGTGTGTGTGTGTGTATGTATATACCTCTGTTCAAATCCCTGCTCTACCACTTATTAAACAAGTGACTTTGGGCAAGCTACTTAGGTTCTGGGAGCCTTGGTGTTCTCGGTATATAACATCTCCTATATCATGGGTGGTAGCATAAATACTTGGCATACCAGGCACTCAATAGACACGAGCTGTTCACTTGTGATTTTTCAGGTGCCCAGCTGTGTGCTTGGCTCTATTCCACAAGAAACCAGAATTTTCTCCTATTATTCATGAGGCAGTCTTCAGAAGCCAGACTTTCCCATACCAGCTTTATCTTCATTAGAAGCCCAGCCTTGCCCTCCACATGAGTAAGGAGGAATGGCACTGAGCCTGAGATCAAACATTTCAGCACCTAGAGTGAGTGAGCAGCTGCTACTGAGAACCGTGTGAGCAGTGGAGACCTGATTTGGGGTCTGGGAAAGAGAAAGTGAACATCACATTCTGCCTGAAAGAAGAGGTGGTCCTGGTTTGGCTGAGGGGAGCAGGTCTGCTCTATGCAGGGGGTGGGAGCAAAGCAGGGGACTCTGGGTCTTCAGGTCTCTAGATAACATGTGAGCGCTGCAGTACAGCGTAGAATACATGCTTCTGAACTGGAAATCAATTTCCAAATCTCCAAGCAAACACAAAGGTTTTGCATATTCAGCTGAAGCCTCTGGCAGTCTTGCCTGACTAAGGCTTTAAGTCTAATCAGGTCTCTTTTTTGACTGAGGGCGGTTGTTGATAATGATTACTGCTCAGTTCTATCTCTCAAAGATACCTGAAACAGAACATTTCTGGGTAGTATTTTTGGCCCTGTATGGATAGTGCCCATGAAGCAGCAACTGTGGGAGTGTTCTCAGGTACAAGTAACAGAAGACTCAGCTCAAACTAGTTCAACAAAAGAAAGGCTGTTGGTTTACATAACTGAGGAAGTCCCGACACTTGGTTCAGGTATGATTTGATCAGGGGTTGGTTCTTTTTCTCTGTGGATCTCTAGAAGTCAGTGGCTTTCAAACTTGAGAATCTCAGAATCACCTGCAGGATTATTAGAATAGATTACTGATTCAGTAGATTGGGGATAAGGGCTGATAATTTGCTTTTCTAATAAATTTCCAGCTGCTGCTGCCACCAGTAATCCAAGAACCAGACTTTGAGAACCACAGTTCTAGATGTCTGCCAGCAGCAAGCTGTCCATATCATGCGTTGGGTGATGGGGGTTGGGGGGGAGGCATCAAATAAAACTACCGTCAGACAAAAGTCCTAAGCTCCTCTCTTACTAAACTGGTTTGAATCAATCACTGTAGTCAATGTAGGAATTGAGTTGCATTGTCACAGGAAATCCAAGCAACTGGGGCTTGAACATGATAGAAGTTCATTTTTTGTCTCATGTAAGAAGAAGTCCAGAGGTAGGCATGCCAGGGCTGAGGCGAAGGCTCTGTGATGTCATCAGGCACCAGGGCTCCTTTTGGTTTCTGCTCTTTGATCCTAGGGCAAGGGCCTCTTCCCCATGATAGTGGTGTCCCTGCCATCAGTACTGTGTTCCAGATACCAGAAAGGAGGGGGAACCACGGGCAAAGGAGCATGTGCCAGCTGCTTCATCTAAGTGACTTTCCAGGAAGGCCTATCCAGTTGCTCGTCTAGAACTGGTTCGTGACACCCTCCTTGCTTCTACAAGGGATCTGGGAAGTGTGACTTTTTTAACTGGCCACATTGTAGCACCAAGTAGTAAGGAAGAAGGGAGACTGAGTAGGGGAAGAAAAATATCCTGATTCATGGAGCTGAAGGGGAATCCATTCACCTAAACAACATAGCTGATAGGAAGGAACTGTTTCATGCAGCCATGTGAGCAACTCTAGCTGCAGGGGAGGTTGGGAAATACAGCTTTACAGTTGGGGACACTCCTGCCTGAACAAAAATTAGGAGCCTCTTCACAAGGAAGAGAAAAGGATAACTGTTGGGTAAGCTGCTAGCACTGTTTGTCTCAATTACTCTAAACCCCCCTCTGAAGTGTAGAAGCCTCCTTTGTGCCCCTGAGTTCATTGATGGGTTTTGTAAATCAGGTTTTGTGGTAGAATGCGGAAACCCAAATTGCTCTGTAGGAGATGGAGAAGATGCTAAATTCCTGGGCACTTCTGGAGAGGAGGGAGGGAGTTTAGACTTACCCCAGGCAGAGGGTACAGACTGAGGATCTGCAGGAAATTAGACTAGAGAAAGCTAGACCACCAAGGTATTAAAAAAAAAAGCCATCTGTTTGTAAACTGATGGCTCCATGGGGGTAATTCTCTTGGAGGGTCTTAAATTTTAGAGAAAGACAACAGTAACAGGAGTCCTGTTACTCCAGAGAAGTAGCCATTGAAATGTTGGAAAGAGCTTGCATTTGGGAGTCTTGCTAACCTGCATTGCCATCTATAAATTGTGTGAACTTAGCAGAGTTACTTTTACCAAAATGGCCGCCAGTTTCCGTATTTGGAACAAGTAGAGGTAACACCTACCTGTTAAAAGAGATTCCAGTAATGACTGAACACGCAGATCAGGGAAGAGTCTATATCAGCATTAGCCACACAATTGGCAGTAGGGCCTTTCCTGGTATATCTGTCTTTGTATTCCCCAGTAGCCCAGCTAAGACCAATGCCTCCCTGAGCACCTAGTGAAACAGACCACTTTAGCAGAGTTATGGAAGGCAGTGGGGGATGCTTTCTGAGACCCTTGGACC